GTTTCTATGAAGAAAAAAAAAATTAAACTGTGTTTAACAAAACAACTTTTAAACATGTTTAAGCTTTGGTGTGAATGGGGCATAAGATTTTGGTGGGGCCTGGACTAAAGTAAGTTAGAAGTGTAGGGACTAATGAATGGCATCAACCATTTACTAGTGAAAGACTCAATTGGAAACTAATTTTGTTTATTTGTAGTCCAAGGTGATGCTCCATTGTTGCATTCTTTTCAGGAAAGTACGATAAGCCTCCAACGTTAAAAGTTTCTCCATGGCCTTTCATTCCTGTTGGAACCCATTTTAATTTTAATGTAACACTTACACCTGGTAAGTTGAAGTTGTGATGGAGAAGTTAATATTTTTTTTTGATTTTCAATTAAAAGTGATATCGTTACAAAAGCAAGAGGAGGGGCTTATGAAATTCCACGGCTTGCAGAAAATCCAGTTTGTATAATTACATTTTTTTTTGGCTGACAGGTGAAGGAATTATAAACGATTGCAAGAATGATTAAAAACTGCGGATAGCATCTTTCTTGATTAGACGGTATGAAAACATACCGAAACTGCATATCCTTGCGGCATGCAAGACAAATTGGAAGACATATATTAATATCTCGTTTAGACCTAATGTGGGGTCCAATCCACCACTGAGTTTTTTTCGTAGAGTATCGGACGACAGAATCCAATGCTCCAAGGTTTTACGTGTATTCCATTCAGGGAATCAGATTTCCCTACACTGGAGACCAAAATAATTAATATCCTACTTTGTTCAAAGACCTAGCCAAAAATTTAGCCTCTTTCCTATCAGTTTGACCAAGGGTGTATACCATATAATAATCAAGATTTGAATCCCTTTCCAACTTCCCTTGATGCGCAGCAGAAATTACTTTTTCATTACACTAGGATCTGTGCCGCATTCTAACTAGTGCTTGCTTCTAATAGCGCTAGATGTTCTCGAAATATTCTCGCAATACGAAGTTATCTCAGACGGCAAGGTGATTTTTAAGCAAAGGGACGACATTGCATGCGATGAGGACCCATTCTTTTGCAATTTACCTGCTGGTGGTAAGTTGTCTCCCAATAAGAGAGCTACGAAGAAAAAAAAGAAAGACAATGAGAAAAAAAAGAAATGAAGAAAAGAAAGAAAGGAAAAAAAAAATGAAAGAAAAAAACGGAAGAAAGGAAGGAAGAAAGAATGAAAAAAAGAGAGGATTAAGAGACACTTATTTCACTTTGAATTTTCTTAAGCATTTATAATTAAAGCTAATCATCTAATACCCTGCTTTGCAGATTAAATCAAAATTATGGGTTCTAGTTCATAAAATTCCAGCTTAAACCTTAGGAAGCTAATCATACCTGTTTTTCGTACATTTATCCCTGTGATTATAGTCATACATATATTCCGAGATTGGCATAAATACAAACAGTTTCTTTTTCCAAACAGTTTTTCAACCGACGGTGTTAAATACGTCGAGACATGTTTTAGAATTAAGAACGACGATCTTTACAAATTTCTTTCTTGACCACCTTTAACAGGCAGCTTCGAATGAAAAATAAAACAAAGAAAAAATAGCAATAAAAAATTCAGACAATCTATCCTCATTCATTAATTTTCAATCTTATATATTGCTCTTAGTGCATGTTGTTTCCTGTTTTGAATAACCGTTGCTAATTTCTTAGCTTTTTTTTTTTTTTTTTTTTTTTTTTTTCTATCTGATAGCCCCGGCTGCATTTAAGTCTTTCTTCCCTCTCTAGATTTGATCTTGCTTGTCAATTATAACGGTACAGTTTTCGTCCTTTCCTATATGATATTTATGGATCTGTCTCACAAGCGAATATAACCACATTTTTCAACGAAACTGAAGCCGACTCTCTTGTGAGCACTCGTCCTATTATCTCAAATCAGCTTTTCCAAGGATATCAAATTCGTTAGCCATCATCCAGGCCAAAGGATTTTCCGACATTTTGGTTTTATCGACTGAGTTATAAATGAAAATTAGCCATTGTGAAGAGTTTCTAAAGAGTTAGCCCTTCGTTCTGACCTAGGGCTAGGGCTCCATTAAAATGATTTCCAGTCGAGCATTTTGTCATCTTTGTACGCTCATGTTGTCTGGCACCTGTGAGCTTTAGCGTCAGCAGCCATTCTTCCTTATCTTCATTACCATTACATCGACTGCGCACTTTTTGAAAAGGAATCATTACGAATCATGGTGTTGATCATTATCATTATGATTATGACGATTATTATCAAGCCGTGCATAGTTTTATCAGTTCATTCCTAGAAACAAGAGAGGGCCCTAAATCAATGCATGAGTTTACATTCTACGATAATTTAGTCATTCTATTTCATTTTGTTCTTCAATCAATTAGAATCGAATCTACAAGGTGAAATTTCAACTTTTTAATGAAGAGAATATCATGTTTCTCTGTGGTGAGATTGTAGCCAAGGTGAGGTAAGAGACGAACAGGACAAGCGGGAGCCATGACTCAAGGGAAGCATGAAGGAAAAAATAGGCATGGAAAGACATGCAAAGAGTGGTATTGCAACCAATGATTCTGTAAACAAAGTTTTAAAATCTAACAAAAGTCATTAAAGATAACTCTAGTAACTTTGAGTAAATACATAGATTACGTTTTTGTGGCGAGGGAATCAGCTCATTGGTGAAACAGCCTGATATTTAAAACCGGCGTAGAAAACGGGGAAAAATAAGAGGGTGGATCAGTCAGCGTGAAAAACTATATACTGTAGCAAGAATTACTTAGATTTTAATGAGAAATATTGTGCAAGGGAGCAAGCGGAACACGTGAGAGCCTTTGAACTCTTCCCTACATACAGCGCTTCCATGAAACTCATTAGTTAAAACAAAGAGTTTGGTAAAAATGAGATAGGACTGATCTGTTTGATCTTGTGAGTCGCTTGGTGTATTCAAGACCAGCCCATTGTTCAAATAACTTCTTGAAATATCAATTATGACAGCGCAGTTCATTGCATACGAGCAAAACTCATAACCAAAGGATGCTTATTGTCGCTCTCTATGGTTTTAATTATCTAACGCGTTTTTGTTTTCGCTCAATAAATAAATACTTTTGGGGTTCACCGTGTTTCAAATCAAAAAATTAACATGTCATGGCAAAAGTAATATCTGGTTTGCGGTATTTTGCCTTTCATTGCTGGTAATGTAAGGGGGCCACAATAGTCTTCACCATTAGCTGTAAAACAGCCAAAAAATATTATAGCCGAAAGTCGTTAAAAAGTTAACTGCAGAAATGGTTCTTTAATCACAAAGGACGGTAGCCAACTGTTGGCCGTAAAATGGCCTACAATTTGACATTTAACCGTAAAATCCATCACCCCATTGAGACCTTCATGTCAAAACAGAATGTTCTGCGCTTTTGAAGTGCCTATGACACGAAGTTCTTTCGCGTAAATATTTAGCTCATCATATGTACAAACCAATTTCGACTGAAGAAAAATCTCAAAAAACGTGAACGGTCTTTACGGACCCTAAAGTACTCTTATCTAGTCTTAAAAGTGTCCCGTAGACTGGTAACGAATTAGCGGCTGATGACGTTGAAAACTGTGAAAACTCTCTGTTGACACTTGCAAATCTTTCGCATCTCTTGCAATTTTGTATCAGACAGCGTTAAAATGCTCTTGAAATAATGTCCGATAGCAATACATCCCTATCTTCACCAAGCTCCACCGAGAGTTGTGACACATCGTACTCAAGTAGTTGTGAAGAAATGGAAGTTGCGATTACGAAGGAGAACCCCGTTGTATCACACGAAGATTTCGGCGAAGACTGACAAAGAAGATTTCTCGCCAGCGGTGTTTAGGTTAAGATTAGAACAGAAACTGCCCGTTGCTCAATGTTTAGTTTGTTGCGTTTGTGTTTTGTTTACTATGGCGAGACCTATGTTAAGAATAGATAACTGTGTTCGTTTCTGTTACCATAACATTTTATTCCTTCGCACTATATGCGGCGAAGGTTCCCCTTGGTCAGTGCTCTAGAGTTTCGTTGCTGTGGAGAAGTTCCCCTAGTAAACAAAAAGTTAACTTTTGACGAAATAATCACGTGTATCACGAGGCACGATGATTTTCACCGAGAAGTCATTGGGTAGTTTCACTGCAAGTTGCTCCTTTCCCCAGAAATTGCAAAGGCAGAGGCTATCGTCGCGATCGACGAGCCGGTCAAACCGAACGGAAAACGAGTGAATTGATAGTAATTTGATTCAAGTCAATCTCAATTAAGGATGATTTTCATAAAGAAAACTTCTTTAGTTTAAGCGCATCATTGCCATATGAACCATTCCGCTCAATGTAAATAACTGACAGCAGTATTATAAATAAATATTTCGTACGCATCGACTTTAAAATTCCACATGGATTTACTACCATCTAATTCAATAAAATTTATCTTTCTTTATTTATCTCGTTGTAGTGCTGTTATCACAATGTCATTGCTACTGTGGCTACTTTTAGTTTCTTGAGGACAGGGGGGATTTAATAGGTCGTGGGAAGGATCTTCTGAAGCCTAGGTTGGGAGAATACACAGCCCCTTCGAGATAGTGTTTGTCAGTATCCGCCAGAGGTTTCGCACTGTTCAAAAGGATATCGGTCAGTTCAGGAAAGGGCTTGAACTTCATCACGAATGATGAAAATCAGATATTTAAATACGATGGAAACTAGAATTGGTAGGATTTTCATACAATAAGAAAAGCGCAAATGTAGTCGTGCAGAAAGACAAGGAGTATGAATACATCTCAAGCGTGTGAAACAAACAACAATGAGGAGCTTACCATTCTACGCTTGCAAAATGTTAGCCGAAAAGAATGTTAAAGAATCGTGCTCGTTGTGGGAACAGACTCCTTCATCAGCATTCTTTTTAGTTGAATTCATAGGTTATCTTCCCCCGATTTGACCAGTGGTATGAGTTCCTAACAGGTGTTTTCGAAGCCGGCACCGAGCATAAGGTCGACGATATTAAAAAAATAACATATCCTCAATGTCGACGATCAAAACGCGTCCATTTTGGCCATACAGCTACATCCTTTGGAAAGTAGTGAAATATAAATATCCGGTTAATGTGTATTATTCTTGTAGCTAACACCATTTGGCACTCAGGCCTCGCAATACGTTCGTCCTTTCTTCTAGATTCCACCATAATTGATGACGTGTCTTCACAGTTTTCTACGTCACAGCTACGTAACATGATCGTGTAACTGATGATCAAACATTGCATCTTCTTCAATTACCCTGTCAGCCATTATCTTGGCATGAGTACTAAGAATCACGAGCACACTCGTGATATGCGCCACAATTTGTATTATACGCGTATCACGTGTGTTCAGCGTTTGCGGCTGTTGCGTGGAACAGCTTTCATCGCCCCACCCCTCTCACATGAATCTCCATGTTGATTTTACTTCGGGCGTGAATTTGTCGCTCGTGACACCTTATTATCTTAAACATCTTGGAATACAATGCGATGTTTAACATTAGGCTGAATCCAATGACACTAGAACCGACTCAACACAACCGCTTTAATCAGCTTGATCAGCTTGGAAAGTTCATGATGATTGTTGTCATGAATGTAGGATTTCCACTTTTGGCTTTTTTTCTCACTTAAAAAAATCGTGAGTCCCAGAAAAACGAAACAGTCTCTTTCGGACTCAGAGTGTTCTTTGAAAACTACAGGAGAAAATTATGATTTTGGCAAGTCACAGAGTTGTACCGCAAGCTGATATTTATCTCATTGATTTTCCTATTTGGATACAAAAGCCTTCCTCAAATCGGTCTCACAGTTCTGACAGCCAGCGTCTCTTTTTTTTTGTCCCAGTACATTCCTCTTAGGTTAAAGAATCCTGAATGAGCAAATAAACGATATAAATAACCAGCTGTAAAAAAATATTTTCCCATCATCTTTTCCTCCCAACCATTATCTAGTCTTATACTCAAAGAAATATTTTTTTATTCCATGCCGAAAGTATTTGACTTTAGATTTTGTCCAGTGTATATCACTGTGACCTTGGGCCCATCGGTTCTGGAGTGAGTATGACTAAGCGCAAGGTGTTGCCGCGTATTATGGGAGGTCGTAATCCGGTTTCGTGAACGAAACTCTTCTTTCACGTTCCGGAAATGTACAAGAATTATCCTTTTTTCATTTTTTTTTAAAGGAGACTAGTGAGCAGCACGAAGGAAGACTTCTTGCTGTTGTAACCTTTGTGTTTATTTTTTTCGACGCGTTTTGTCTCTAGCTGATAGTTTTCCAGGAATGATTACTAACTAACATTGAGCAGCATATATAGCACATTCGTGTGCCTAAGTTTGATCAACTTCCAGTGGTAGTTTATAATAACAGAATCATGTCGTAACACCTTGTTATGAGCGCCACACTTAAGCGTCGTTTCTCATTTGCAACCGGAAACATGATGAAATCAGTCCTGTTCGAAAGGTTACTCGTTTCAAAAATGTACCACTGTCAGCTTAATGAACAGTAAATTATTCACACTCGTTTATCGTAAAATAAAACAAACCGACAGCCTGAGATAGGAAACCAATAAGCACATGTCAGGAGACTGTACCACTCTTAGCCGCGTTGACATTGATAATATGGACGGAAAACAACAGGTTGTAAAACAAAGAAAACGAAAATCAGGGAAGCGCTGTGTACATAGTGATGTTTTGTAACCAAAAAAAAAAAAAGAGAGAGAGAGAGTCAGCCTTTACTAGTTTCCTTAAACCCTGAATGCTGGACAATACATCTGGCTTCTGGCTGTAACTGTTCCTCTGTACCATCCTCTATATATATATATATATATATTTTTTTTTTTTTAACCACATCTACTTCCATGCAGAGGGAGTTTTAGAGGGTGTTTTCTTTCTCCCTTCACATTGATCGGCAGTTTTCAGACTGTCACCTTGTAATAAAAAAATCAGTAAAGTAGCATTTTTTTTCACGATGTTGAACAGAAGAAATGGGTAGCACAACATGTATGATTAGTTTCACCAAAAGGAACAGTTGTCAGCTCTGTAACTTTCACAAACGTGGGAGATAACAAACTTTAGGCTAGACATGAAACAAGGTGCAAAGACCACAAGTAAACAATAAGTTAATATTAAGAGGATGTTCAATACTACATTTACGAATGTTATTTTTTGCTGCTTGGTGTTTAAAGTAAAAGCCGAGAAATCTTTAGTCGTTCGCCAAATTCAACAAAGAAAAAATGAAAACCGATTCAATCGCGTGGAAACTTGTATAATCCATCCAATTTAACTCCACAAAAGTGTATGTTTATATTTTCATTCAGTAAAACCCTAGCTTCAGCTTCGCTCCCATGGTATTCAAGAGTCTACACATTTGGTTTTCATTACTTGCTCGCTCCTACATTTAATAAGCGACTGATTTTCAAAGACTTTATTTACAAGCGTAAATACGTTCACCATTCTCGCTTTCTTGATTGAGGCGGCCCCGGTGCACGGGCTCATGATCCTCTTCTGACTCTCGCGCTCTATTTTAGGTTCGTCCTAGCGGTTCAAATCGCAAGGGCCTGATTTTAACAACAGGTTCATGAACCTTTTCATTATGTTCATCCTCCATCGAGGCCTCAAAATCCAAATAATCAGACCCCGAAATAAAATTGCTTTCACTCGAACGACTATCCGCCATATTTACTTGCTTAATGTACACGTGTGACGTAGATGATCAAAATCGAGGCGTTTTACGGCGGATGACTTACCAAGCTGCATTTAGGACATTTTTCCCGGCGAACAAAGGCACAAAGAGGCATTCGAAGCACCTTGTATCTGTTTCAATGTGTTACTTAGAGCATTTAGACGGTATTCTGAAAAAATTACCTTATAGCCATCAGTTTCCCTTAAAGTATCCTCATCCAGGTTATTAAGGATATTTGACTCTCTTTATCACTGGCTCACACAATTGTAATTTTAAAACAGATCGCGATGTTTGGTCATTTCTTCCCGCAGCTTAACTCTTCCTGTAAGTGGAACTTTGAGACCTTATTATACTGACTGCTTTTCAGGATGTAGTTTACAAAATTGCAGCTATGGAAGCCGCTAAGGGGGGAGAATTTGAGTTATTTTCGTTAGTCATCTCATTTAGTGTTCCCAAATGTGACAGCATTCGTAGAAAACAGAAAACTGCGAGGTACAGATGGAGTATAATGAATACTGAGATCTTAGAAAAAAAATCCAAATCATTGTACTGACGAAATGTCAACACCCATTCTCAAAACGCTTTTTGGCAAGAGCGAAAACAAAGACAAATTTCAGAAAAAAAGGGACACCTTACCGTTTTGAACGCTTTCGTGTAAGATTTTAATTAAAAGTACAAATGTTGAACTCCGTCTTTTCTTCTATTTTAAAGGAAACGGAATTCAACATGTGAAGTCAGTTTTGAAGTACATTAGCTTCAACCCGATCCGATGTTCCAGCTTCCTTCGCTAAGGAATGATTACAAGAACGGGAACATCCGATGAACTTTCACGCTTCATTGAAGATAGCAGCTGAAGAACTTCACTGAAATATCTGTCTTTAAAATCTTTTTCTGTGCCTCATAAAATATCTCGCTTTGGGTAGCTTAAACAATTAGAGCTTTTGTTGAAATCTCTCTGGCTATTGTGACTGTGACTATTAAATGACAATTCATTGCAAATAAAGGCACTAGCGAGTCCCGCAAAGGCTGTCTTCTTTAAACACAATGCGAAATGTTTTTGAATCTTTAATTTAAATTGAGGTAGTAAACGTTATAAATCATATTAAGTTTGTTTTCAGTTAAAAAAACTAAATATTTTTCGCTTAATTAAAAAGTAGGATCCCTCGCACCTTCGAGTATATTTGAGTTTGACGCATTACATATATTTAAGCAATAAAGAACTCTTTCGATCAGTTTGCTGGCGTAATGGCTACTGAAGTAATTGTTTAGTTTGAATGTTTTGTATAAAGTCCTAATAAACCTTTATTCTTTTGAAGCATGGAAAACCACAAATGGTGTAGCACGTTAAGGAGGCTCCATAGGGTCGTTGACTTCTTTCACAAAACTCTTCATTTCGATATTTTATGACTCTGACGTGACTAAATTTGTTGATAGCCGCAAATAGTCTCTAGGTCTAGTTAAATATTTCGCTTTAAAGTAGCTTACGTGGTGGCAGAGTTTTAAGGTTACAGATCCAGACATGATCTTACTCTCTTTTTATTAAGGAATTGGTCTAGTGAACTTTTCCAGTCCATTGCCTAGTTGGCTGATAAACCCAGTGGAGGGTAAATATTTTGCCCCTTTTACAACCAGCTAGATTTTCCCCTTTTGTCTTTACGTCGTCAGCAATAAAGAAATGGGTTTAGGGATGAATTGAGGAATGCCACAGTCTCGTATAACAGATGACGATACAATGCATCTCTTTCAATCACCAATGTCAGCCAGGAAGGTCGCCTTGAATAACGAATTACAAAACACATAGGCGTCTCGCGTGCTTTTAGCGTTTGCAACTGTTGCGTGGGACAGCTTTCATTGTAACGCGCGTGAATCTCTATGCTGACTTTATTTTGCGCGTGTGGATTTGCCGTTTGTGAAATGACTTTTTAACGAATCGGCAATAATAACCACGCAGTTGTCATTAACTGCACAGAGACATCGCGGAATCACGATATATAGTGAACGCTGAGCTTCATAGGAATTATTCAAGAAACTTTTTGGTGGATGGATAAAGCGCTCATTCTCTCTTTTCCTTTCCAACCAGCACACACCACCGAGTCTTAAGTAAGCTATGCCATGCAACAAATTTAAAATCACTGAAAAGCTCAGTGATTTAAAACGATTTGAAAAGCGCATTTATTTTATCAGCAACAAACGGCCGTTTGCAGCGAACGTGGATGATATTTTGTGACGAAAAGTCCCTTATTTCCTTTGAAACTCAGGGCCCGGTGAACTCTAAAAATATTATTTCTTGAGCAGAAAGAAAAAAAAAACAGCGAACGTTTAGATAAACAAAACCACAGACAGCATAGATAGATAGATTTTTGGTTTAGGGATTTGCTTTTGTGCAATAAACTTCTCAATGGCTGGGTAGTAAATACGCTAGCAACTCCATAGGACAAATAACTGAAACACACAGATCAGTCCTTTCGTATTTCTATTTACATCTCTGTTGAACTGTCGGACTTTCAAGGGAGCACCGTGTATAGGGAGGGGTTCAAAAGTTCCAGTATGCTTAGCTAGCTCTCTTGGAAAATCTTTCTTATTCAAATCTATGTAATTTCTGCTACAGTTTACTATTTTTCGCGCGAATTGATCCCCTCTCTTTATTGTTACCTGTTTTTGCTGCGTTGGTTTTTCATTCATGAGTTGATTCCCTTACCTCAAATATTTAATCTATGAGTTTACTCAAACTACAGAGCGGAGTTATCTTTAATGATTGTCGTTAGATTTTGAAACCTTGTTTTACAATATCAGCGATTGCAAGACGACTTTTTAAATGTCTTCCCCTGCTTAAGCGAATTACTTTCCCCCTTACTTCTTGTCTTTCACTTGAGTCTTGACTCGTGTTCGTCTTCTAGCGTACCTTTCCAACAACTTCACCACAGAGAAACATTATGTTCTTTTCATTGAAAAGTTGAACTCTTCCCTTATAGGTTCGTTTCTATAATAGATTGAAGAATAGAATGAAAGCAGAATGTCTTAAAACGTAGAATGTCAACGCATGTATTTATCAACGACTCTCTCTTGTTCCTCGAAAAGAGCAGATCCAACTAGGACACGCAGTGACAAAAATCACCGTAATCGTAATTATAATGATCATCACCATCATTATTATTTCGTCAAAGCGCGCGGTCAATGTGATGAAGAGAGAATGGCAGAGAATGGCTACTGAAATGAGCCTACAAAAATTTCTAAAAAAAGATTACAAAATGCTCGACTGGAAATCATTGAAATGATGAGTGTAAGTTTCCAAAGAAATTATAGCGCTTTGTCGGTGGGGGGAGAGGTTAACAGGATTATTTGGTTTTAACAAAAGATTTGATGATGTAAGCTGGCCACAGTAAAGAGTTTTCATAGCCGATGTTTCAAGCGTTAGTCGTTACTCAGAGAGATAGGCTGACGCTTAAAATGTCAGCTTTAGAAACTCTTCACGGAAGCTCATTCGCAGGTTTGACTCACTTTATAAAACCAATTTATTGGTATATTCTTAGGCCTGGATGGTGGCCAATGAATTTTAAAACCTTAGAAGAGCTGATTTTGGAGCCAATAGGATGAGTGCTTACGGGAGAGTTCGGCTTCAATTTCGTTGAAAAATGTACAAGCGCTTGTAAGGTGCATAAACATCATAACGGAAAGGACGAAAACTACAACGTTATGAGTAACAAACCAGAAGAAATTTAGCGAGGGAGAAAAGACTGAAATGCAGTCGCAGCTGTTAGAAAGGAATCGCAAGCACTGAGACCGGTGGGCTGACAGAGCTGCGTCAATTGGTTGATTACCTTAAAAAATGGAGGAATGGGCGGCAACTTTGCAGATCCAACCCACACCTTGGTTTCTAGAAGACAAAAATAAAAATAAAATACAATAACAAAAATCAGTTAAGGTCAGTCATAATGGGAGACACCGCCAAGAGCAATATATAAGATCGATACAGTAATCAGTGATAACAGATTGCCTGAATATTTTATTGCCATTTTTTTGTATTTTTTTTCTCTGTTTTTGCATTCGAAGCTGCCTGTTCGAGATGGTCAAGAGAGCAATTTGGAGAGATTGTAAACATTTTTAATTTCTCAAACACGCCTCGATGTGTCTCAGCTCGCGCCTTCTTCGGTTGAAAAACTATTTGAAAAAAGAAACCATTTGAATTAATACTAATCTCGACAGATGTGCATAACTATGATGACAGGAATATAGGAGAAAACGAACCTCCATAAACGGCTATTAAAGCAAAAGTGTGAGGTTGACATCATTGACTATTTAACTGAAATGATTAATGAGTTTTTCCCAGTTGATGGAAAAAGCCTCCTTGGTTTTAGGCTGGAATTTTTAAAGAGCAGAACCTATAGTTTCGATCTTTTGACCGGAGTACTCGGTAAGCTTTGGAAATATTTGAAAAGGTAAGAAGACCCATGTGTGCAAAAGTTTCTCCTAGTCCCCTTCCCGTTTTTTTTTCTCTTCCCGTTTTAATTCTTTTTTGTTGTTGTTGTTTTTGTTGTTGTTTTGTTTTGTTGTTTTGTTTTTTGTTTGTTTTCACTCTCTTTTGGAGACTTACCACCAGCAGGTAAGCTGCACAGATCTGGGGAAGAAATGCATACACGGTCGTATCTGTTCCTGAAAACAACCTCACCGTCTGCTGAGACCAATTCGTATTGCAAGATCGCCTCCAAAACATTCACCACTATTAGAAGCAAGTATCGGTTAGAAAGCGGCTAGGAGAACCTTGTGTAAAGGAAGTGATACAACATGAGCTACATCTGTTGTGCATCGAGGGGTGTTTTCCCGAGGTCTTGAAAACCAAATTTTCCCTAGAACCCCTTGCTGGCGATCGCTCTCAGCGATAACCCAAATCTTCTATTCTCAAATCCTGGATCTTCATAGTATCCACCTACAGTCAACTGGATAAGAAAGGGGTTAGATTAATGGTTTGGTCGTTGACCAAAGAAGAATATTAAAAGTTTTTGTCACGAGTGTAATTCCAAAAGAAAATCTGATTACCCCCACCACCAAAAGGATCAAATCTTGGAGTGTTCTATGAAAAACAACTTGATTGGACCCTACAGTAGGTTCAAACGAGATATGCGTTAGTCTTACATGTCTTACATGCTGGTAGGATTTGCAATTTCTTATTTTATCATTATTTTTTTTTATTTTTCTATATTCTATGAATTTGCAACAGCCCGTCTCTCTTGGCCGCCGGGCCCCTTCCCTCTGTTTCTTATAAATTTACCATGTGGACTTTCACGTTTCTAGTAGAACCCTCCCCTCCCTTCCAACTAGTCTACTAAGGCCCTCCCCTGAGCGATTCTTTCCCCTCCTTCCCCAAAGCACACTTTCATTTCCGAAAAAAAGTTGTAATTGAAGTACTCCATTGTTTCACATTCTGAATGTCGAAAGTTTTCAGCCGGAAAATAAAAATTAGATCAAAGACCCTCCCCACCTCCGAAAAGCTTCTCCTCTGATTCCCCCGAAGCCTTGGAATTTCATAAGCCTCTCCTCTCTCCTCCCTCCCAGTGTTTACAATATCATATTCGATATCAAAATTATTAAAATATAATAACTCCTCCGTATTCGATTGATATCAACTTACCAGGTGTAAATGTTACACTCAATTTGACAAGAACACCAGTGGGAATGAAAGGCCAATGCGAAACTTTAAACGTTGGAGGCTTATCATACTTTCCTAAAAAGAATGGAACAATAAAGCTTGAATTTCAATGCTATTTTGACGCTTTGGGAAACCCCGCACAAAAATAAATAATTGCTAAAAGTTTTTAAAACCTTAGACTACAGGGAAACAAGCACAATTTACTGTTCAGTCACTAGTTATTAAACGGCCGATATGATTCTTATTTCTCCATACTTTTGGGCCTGGAGTGGAAGATTTTGAGCGGGATCACATGGGAGGGGATGGGGATCAGTTGTCACTAAAGGTGTATAAAGGTGTGTAAAAGGGGGACTGCAGAAAATTAACCTCCGATTAACTGCCAATGAGAAGAGACCGTAGGAATATTATAGAGCCTTGAAGGGGGATCAGGTAAATACTAGCCAGCCCCCCAACAAGCAATAAATAATGACTTGTCCTTCAGTCCCTGTCTTTCTAATATAACGTATTTCCTGGCCCACAAACAGAACAAACAGAATTGTATAGAACATTACAATGGCCTGGCTCTTCCCATTTTGTTCGGAAAAAATGTGGACTTTTTCAAAAAATGAATGGTCTTATCGGCAGCTGGTTTATTGAAATAAGGAGGGCGGGGGGTAATGGAAAGTGAAAAGAAAATCATTTGGAATCGAGGATAAACGATTAAGAGTGGAGAACGAATTGTCAAACCCAGGAATCGGAAATCAGAAATGAGGAATACAAACAGAAAAATTGGAAATTGGAAAGATCATTGAAGGCCTCCAAAGTAGTTGATTAATCGAGAAGGGAATCTTCCTCGTAGCGCGTAATTCCTCTTTCTTCATTTATCAACTCATGAATGGCATGAATTTCACATCTAAAATCTCATTCTAGTTCAGCAAAATATACAAGTCTTTCCAGGTAGCTGTAAGAAAGCAAATTAGCATTTCTTTTTTTTTCTTTGAAGAATTCTCATTTTTCACTTCCCATTCGATTTCTAGTAACATTCTGTAATTATTCCTGAGCAGCTTTTGAGAGCGGAATACCTTTTAAAGAGGATTAAAAATAAATCAAAAGAGAGACGCTCACCACAGAATGATGCATTTACAATTTCAATTCCCGTAGGATATCCCGTTGTTCCACTGATGTTAAAAAGGAGCATGCTCAAGGCGACAGTTCTTCGTAGCCGACTGACCGAAATCATCATCGTCTTTTTAACAAATAGCTGGGAAGTAAAACAATGAAGAGTAGTTTAGATGTCAAATACGTCTGCGAGTAGAAACGTGAGATTTAACGTGGAATTTTTGATCAATGTATGTTATCCTCTCTGAAATACTTCTCCCCAAAAGGTGTCTTCTAAAGTAAGCTTTTGCTTGAAACGCTAATACACGCATGTATTTTTCAAATGCCACGAGTGAAAAATGATACAGGGCTGATGCATGCCAGAATTTAGGAAATAGGCAGTAGGTCTAACGAATTCGATATCTTTAGGGGAAAAATTGGTGGATAAGGTTGAACCGATGTATTGCTCAAGAATCGCGAGGTTGAAGAAAAAAAAAAAAAAAAAACTTTGTCCTTGTTTTGCAAGTGTACTTCACTATTACACTTCATTTCGTGTTACATTTTAAAATTCACGGTATTTTTTTTTCTCACTTAGGAGATCAATGACTTACTTTCCCCTATTGGGAACAAGACATAGTCTGTTGATAAAAAAGAACTGGGAGATCATTTGAACTATGCTTCTGTAATTATCATAGATAAAGACGATTACAGTCCGGCTCCAAGTAAGGCTCCAGATCTAACGAGGATCATTTTGAATTCATGTCACTAAATAATATTTGTATTTTATATACCAGTGCATGCAAACTGTTTGTTAACTATACATCTGTCTCTTAAGAGTTTCTTGCGCAGTAACACTCCACCGATGGCTGGCCCTACGTCATCCGTATTTGTTGTTGACGGTGTTGATGGTGACAATGTAAGTTTTCCTAGTGTTTATAGATGAAACTTATATTGAACAATACTGAGAAAGCATTTTTGTTTGCAAACTGAATTCCCCGGGTAGCTGCATCAGATACTTCAATGGGTTTCTTGCCTATGGTGACAATTACACCAAACAAGTTATTTACAATGTAGCTGTTGCCAGCCGAAGCTTTTCCACTGAAAAAAAAATCTATATCCTGCTTTTAAGCTTACATCTTCTGCCTTTTGATAATATTCATACTTCCCTTACAAGTAGATTTCTCACCAACTGGCTAAATGACTTCAGCGTCATACTTTCAAGATCAATATTTTCTTTGATGAAATAAAACACATTTTTGTTGCAGAATGTGACTGGTGTGTAGATAAATGAATAAAGGGGTAAGTTTCTAAAGAAACTGTGGTGCTGCGTCGGTGGGAGAGTATAACAGGTAATTTAGTGTTAACAACTGGGTTGAAAACGTAAATTAGCCACCGTAAAGGGTAAAAAAGCTGGCGTTTCGAGCGTTAGCCCGTCGTCAATCGCTCTGACGAAGGGCTAACGCTCGAAACGTCAGCTTTTTTACCCTTTACGGTGGCTAATTTACGTTTTCAACTCAGTTGTTAACACTAAATTACCTGGTGTGTAGATAGATGGACCTATCTCATCAAATTTAATAGATGAGAGCTGTTTGAGTCACTTTGTTTTCAGAGTATGTGGCTGAAATCCACGAAACACTAATCTCATCGTCGAGGGAAGCTAAGGGGCTGTGAAAGAGGAGTTGGGCAGGGAGACCCCTCAAGCTTTGCACAGTATGCTACAAAGCAAAGAAAAAAGGAAGAGGCCATTGAAAAGTTCCATTCCAGAAAGCAGAAAGAAACAGTTTTCTGTCCTCCAACCTGTTCTGGTTAGAGGGAAATGCCCTTTTTGGTCTTGCTTATTTTGTGAAGGACAAAATATTATGTTTTGAGAAATAAAGACTGACTGAGTAAACAAATGTAAACAAATAAATGAATCAATCAATCAAATAATGAAACAATCAGTCATTCAAATGATCAATCAGTCCATGAAACTGTTTTTTTTTTCCTAATTTATGATGCAGGGCTACAGGCAATATTCAGCCTGCTGCAACTGCTGCTACTCGCGAAAGGAAAACACACATATGCTGGATAGTGATTTATCGGGTGTATAACGTTATCCAATCTTTGAACAACCAGGCCCTGGGGAATAAACAGGTTTCCCTGAAATGAAAAATTTCTTGTTTATCTCCTGTCAGGAGTGAGAGCTACAACTTGAATCACTGGATATGAACCTGTTTCAGAAGTCAACTATCGTGCCTGGTTATTGTATGGCTTTGATTATATGCAATGTGGAACTATAAAACTACACTCAACTGTGTTATGAAAAATTAATAAGCGTTATTGTTGCATTTGAGCACTTGATTAGAAAACAAACAACAGTTTTCAGGTGACAAAATTATATTTGCTATTTAATATATGACTATATATGTAGAGTGCGTGACATGTTTTGTTGAGTTCATGAACCACAAAGGGTGTCGGGAAAAAAAACAGAAAAGCATGTGCTCGGAGTTTTCGAATAAATACAACCTTGTGTTTAATTAATCTGGTGATTTGAGTGTGTAACATTGGCGACCCTGCCAGGACTCGACCGAAGAGGCTTATCATCGACGAAGAACTGCCTTGGGTTGTGAAGGACAAAGTAATTGGCACGCTTGGTTGATTCGTCGAGCGCGAGTTGGTTGTGGTCGATTGCTGTCGACGGCGGACTGATCTTGACGTAAAGTGTCGCATTTCTTTTGTGAACGGCTGATTGCACTATTGGTGAGTACGAAAGATTATTTTTGGAAGTATGATGGATACCGAGAGTCTGCAGATCGAAATTCAGGCCGCGTTGTGTTCCTTGAGCGAGGAAAGGCTTAAAGAAGTTTGTAGTGGGCTGAACATTACTGTACCGCCTGAGAGCAAGGGAAGGTTGGTTTTTATCCGAGCTCTAAATAAATACCTCGAAACGGAAGAATTAGATAATGAGAAGCTCAAAGTGTTGTCGTCGTCTCTAAGTATGCAGGGAAAATTTGTACCGGAACAGAAAACGGAACCGCCGAAAGCTTCTGAAAATAGTAAAGCGACCGTCAAAATAGAGCAAAATCCCGTGGTGTCAATTTCAAAATTCAAACGCGACTTCAAGATTTCGGGCCAGATTGGCGACGTGTCGCAGAAGGATCGTTTGAGTTTTTCCTCGCTAGTGCATCAAATTGAGAATGGTTTAAAGAACGACTATACAGAGGATGAAATTAAAGAGGCTGTGATAAAAGCGATAAATCCGGCGTTAAGCCTAAGAAGTTATTTGGAGGGTAAGGTAGATTTAACACTGGCCAAATTGAGGAGAATTATGCGTTCTCATTATCAGGAGAGAACAGCAACCGAACTATATCATCAGTTGAGCTCAACTGTACAACAGCCAAAGGAAAAACCTCAAGAATTCTTGATCCGCCTTCTCGATTTGAAACAGAAGATCTTGTTTGCATCTCAAGAAACTGACTCGGACCTGAAATATGATCCTACCTTAGTACATGGCATGTTTGTCCATAGCTTTTCCCTTGGCCTGCAAAGTGAGAATATCAAGATCGAAATGAAGCCTTACTTGGAAAAAGAAATTTATAAGCGATGAAGAACTATTCGAGAAATTAAATGTGTGTTTCAGTGACGAACTGGAGCGATCACAGAAATTCGGTTCACAGCTAACCCCAAGGTAAATGCTGTTCAAAAGGGAGGGACAAGCAGGAGACAAAGAATAATGGGGTGGAGGAAGGTCTCATGAAAGAACTAAGGGAGCTCAAGGCAGAAGTGGCCGCAGTCAAAGAGAGAGTTCGGGCCCCACTCCGGGCTCAAACCCCCCTCACACAACAGCCTATGAGACAACCCCCACTGTGTAGGACCTGCCAACAAAGTGGGAATGGATGGCCGTGCAACCATTGCTTCAGGTGTGGGGCGAGTGGCCATTATGTACGCGAGTGTAATGCCCAATTCAGCCGACGCTCTCCGGCAGAATCTCAGGGAAACGGCCAGAGGTCACGCCCATGGGACAGGGTGTGACCAGGCAAGAAAATCAGTCCCGTTACGTGCAGTGTGGAAAACAAAGCACAGACCATGTACCACTTAACCGCTGCGGAGCCTGTAAGATCAATAGATATTATTCAAAAGAATGTCAAGTAAAATACAGAACTGTGCATAAACCAGTTTGCATGGCTATACAGGAACTTGAGAAACAGAAAGCAGCCGGAGATGATGGCGATGATTTGAACACGACGTTTCCCTGCCACCTGACGCCAAGACAGCAGCTCGGACTGACAAAAATCGTGGGACGGAGGTGCGTGGTAAAATGCCTAATTCAAGGAAAGGAAGTGGAGGCATTATGGGATACAGGTTCCCAGGTTTGTGTTGTGTCAAGGAAGTGGCAACAAACTCACTTACCGCTGGAGGTGTTAAGAAATGTTGAAGAGTTGTTGGGAGCAGGAGAAGAGTTGAATTTGGAAGCGATGAATGGGACAAACATTCCATTTGACGGTTGGATTGAGGTCGGGTTTAAGTTGGCTGGAGATGATACAACTGCTCATGAGCTGACAGTTCCAGTACTGGTGGGACAAAAGGAACAAGAGTACCCAATCATTGGCTTCAATGTTATAGAAGAAGTCCTCGCTCAACATGGTGGAAACCACCAAGCGGCAAGTAACATCATTCAGCAGTCATTCCCTTCAATTCATCATACTCGCGTAGGTACCCTGATCAATCTGATCCAGTCAAGAACACAGGATACCGGTACTGCAGCTGTTAAAGTCGGAAAGAGAGATGTTATGCTGCCAAAAGGAGAGGCAACGACAGTTAAGTGTCAAACTCACCTCGGACCAGTTCCAGAGGGGATGCCAGTAATATTTGAGCCCAAGGAAGACAGCGAGCTCCCAGACGGACTGGAATTGGGCGAGGAACTTACTAAAATAACCCCGGGAACCTCTAGTCACGTGGCCGTCGTGGTCCAAAACAATACAGACAGAAACATCTTGTTAAAGCGCAGAACAGAATTGGGCCGGATACACCTGGTAAAGTCAGTTCTACCAATTCCAAATACTCCCGACTCGTACTCTCGAGGAGACGAGGATTTTTACCCTGAAGCTACCTTGCATCCTGGTCAGGAACAAGATGGATGGGAGCCACCAGTTGACTTGAGTCAGCTAGAAGACAATGAACAATTGATCGTCCACGAAATGCTACGGCAAGAAGCTGGTGCCTTTGCAAGAAACGACGATGAGGTTGGCTGCGTGGAGAACTTGGTGCTTGATCTCCAGTTAAAGGACAATGAGCCAGTACAGAAGAACTATATCTCCATCCCCAAGCCACTCTATGGGGAAGTGAAAGAGTACTTAGAAGACTTGATTAATCGAAATTGGATCTGCAAGTCCCGTTCGGCTTACTCCTCACCCATGGTCTGTGTTCGCAAAAAGGATGGAAGTCTGCGACTTTGTATTGATTATCGAGAATTGAACAAGAAAACATATCCAGAACGACAGCCGATTCCCCGTATACAGGATATCTTAAATGGCCTAGGCGGCAACAAATGGTTTACAGTTCTGGACCAAGGGAAGGCCTACCACCAAGGCTTTATGACAGAAGAAAGCCGCCCCCTGACTGCATTCGTGACCCCCTGGGGATTGTATCAATGGAATAGAATACCGTTTGGGCTAATGAATGCACCGGCGGCATTCCAAAGGTGCATGAATGAATGTCTAGATGGCTTACGTGACAACATCTGTATTCCCTACCTGGATGATGTCTTGGTGTATAGTAAGACCTTTGAGCAACACGTTCAGGATGTCCAACAAGTCCTGCGTCGACTGCAGGAACATGGGATAAAGTTAAAGCCATCAAAGTGCAAGTTCTTCCAACGACAAGTTAGATATTTGGGGCGGGTTGTTTCCGGCGATGGCTACTCTCTAGACCCAGAGGACACGGCTGCCGTACACAACTTGGCGAAACAGAAACCAGCAACAGTGGGTGATGTGCGTAAACTGCTAGGGTTCCTGAGTTACTACAGGCAATACATCCAGGATTTCTCACGCATAGCTAAGCCCCTGTACGATCTAATGGCTGGCCCTGATCGATTGGCTAATAATCATAAGGTAACATGGACAGAGGAACATCAGAAGCGGCTTGACATGCTGATCGACCGACTGACTTCTCCTCCAGTGATGGCATTTCCCGACTTTACGAAGCCATTTGTACTTCACACAGACGCCTCGCAAGAGGGACTTGGAGCTGTATTGTATCAAGAACAGGACGGGAAGCTCAGAGTTCTAGGTTATGCCTCTAGGACACTAACTCCAGCAGAGAAAAATTACCACATGCACGCGGGAAAATTGGAGTTCCTTGCCCTCAAATGGGCAGTAACTGAGAAGTTCCGTGATTACTTGTACTACTCCACCTTCTTCACTGTTTACACCGACAACAATCCACTAACTTACATTCTGTCGTCAGCTAAGTTGTCTGCAGTAGGGCACCGGTGGGTGGCAGAACTGGCAGATTTTAATTTTAACATCAAGTATCGGCCTGGCAAATCTAACATTGACGCGGATGTACTATCCCGCCTACCGCTAGATTTCAGTGCATACATGGAAACCTGTATTGCAGAAATGGAAAAGGACGCAATTTGTGCAACAAGTCAAGCAGTGATCCATCAGGAAACAGACGCCACACCCTGGGTGGCAGCAGTTTCAGCAAGAGTTGGCATTGCTCACGCAGAACCGGGCGTCACAGATTTGGTTTTTCGCCAACTTACGTTAGAAGAAATATTAAGGGCTCAACGGGAAGACCCCGACATCTCACGAATCCTGGCCTACAAGAAACGGGGATATCCCCATCAGGAGGAGAGCGGAAAAAATGAGACTCGTACAACATCTTGCTACTTGAGAGCATGGAATAAACTCCATATATCAGCGGACGGGATCCTGTGGCGCCAAACTAAGAGTCGATTGCAGCTAGTATTACCCACAAAGTTTAAACAGTTGGTTTACCAAGAACTTCACATTGAAATGGGTCATCTGGGTGCAGATCGAGTGGTGGACTTAGCGAGATCTAGGTTCTATTGGCCTTACATGCAAGAGGAAATCGAGTATTTCATCGCCAACAAGTGTCACTGCATCCAGCAAAAGAAGCCCCAAATCTCCCCTAGAGCACCAATGGAGAGCATTACGACGACTGCCCCTTTGAGATGGTGTCTATAGACTTTCTTCATTTGGAGAAAAGCCAACGGGGATTTGAATACATTTTGCTGATAGTAGATCACTTCACAAGGTTTGCACAGGCCTACCCAACCCGAAACAAGACAGCACGAACGGTGGCTGAAAAGATTTACAATGACTTTGTACCACGATTCGGATTCCCAGCCCGTATACACAGTGATCAAGGAGGAGAATTTGAGAACAATCTCTTCCATCAACTACATAAGTTGTCTGGCGTTTCCAAGTCTCGCACCAGCCCCTACCACCCTCAAGGGAATGGGCAAGTGGAGAGGATGAACCGCACGCTATTGTCTATGCTGCGAACACTCCCAGATTTGAAGAAACGAAAGTGGGATGAATCACTCAACAAGATGATCCACGCGTACAATTGCACTAAGCATGAGGCGACAGGATACGCTCCGTATTACTTGTTGTTTGAAGAACACCCCGCCTGCCCATCGACCTGATTTTCAATTTGAATCAAGAGAGTGCAGAGGGAGATTATAACACTTACGTCCAAAACTGGCAGCATGATATGAAGGAGGCATACCGGATAGCTCAACAGAATGCAAAGAAGACTGCCGAGCGCGGCAAGCAATATTACAACAAGAGAGTCTCAGGTGGCGTTCTTCAGCCAGGCGATCGGGTGCTAGTTAGAAACTTAACAGAGCGCGGTGGACCCGGAAAATTACGATCCCATTGGGAGTGCGCTATCCACGTTGTGGTTGAACGAATGGGGCTCAAAGCCCAGTCTACAAAGTTAAGCCCGAGAGTGGAGGTGGCCGCGCAAGAGTGCTTCACCGGAATTTACTACTGCCTTGTGACGCTTTGGAAGCAGATGCCCCAAACCTGGGATTTGGTACGCGACCCCAAAATCAGCAGTAGAGAAACGACCTTTGTCTGTTTCGGGAAATGACCTACAGAATTCGGGGAAAGATGATGATGATTTCGGTAGTGTGGACCTTGTAGAGGAAATACCTACTGAAGTAAGAACTTCAAACTCAGTGTCTCCAGGACGCGATTTGCCTTCAGAGTCAATTGAGGATTCTGCGACTACTGAGGGCACCAATGGGCCATCCAGCGAAATACAACTTGCAAATGAAGGAAGTGCTGACAATGACGGATCAGAGGGAGAGGACATTGCTGAGCAGGACATGTGGACTCGGCCGCAGCGCCAAAGGAGACCGCCGCAGATCTTAACTTACAACTCCCTGGGAAATCCACAGTACCAGTCGGCTGAGCCAGTATTCAGCAGTTCACGCGTTAACGCCATTCAAACTCCAGCTATCACAGCTATTCATCCGGGAATACCCTGTATTTCTGGGTGTGGCCATGCTGTTTCCAACCTGTCTACTACCCGAGGGCTTGAGAGGAGCCTCTTATAAGACCCAAACATTAAAACAAAAAAAAAAAAAAAAAAAAAAAAAAAAAAAAGAAAATCAAAAGCACGCAAGGTGCTGAAGGAGACAACGTCAAACAACAATTACAGTAGCTGCAGAGAACTCTGATAAATAGTTTTGTAATATTTAGAAGAACACTTTCATTTTCGGCGGGGAAGTGTGTAGAGTGCGTGACATGTTTTGTTGAGTTCATGAACCACAAAGGGTGTCGGGAAAAAAAACAGAAAAGCATGTGCTCGGAGTTTTCGAATAAATACAACCTTGTGTTTAATTAATCTGGTGATTTGAGTGTGTAACATATACATATAGACTTTCTGTAAACTTTTTCCAAACGCGACAACATCAAGTAAACAGTAAGGACATAAATATTGTGAAACCTAGTCTTTGAATGACAATGTTTGTTGAAACCTCACAATTTTCCCGTAAAACAACTTTTATCATCCGTTTGGAAGGTTGAAACGAGTAACGTCATCTTTTCATTGAAAATAATGAAGTGTTTATACTTCACTACATTATAATTCATCCTCATCTTCTTCCCCACAACTATGATACTCATCTTCAGCTATGGGAAAGGCAGATCTCATTACACTGTACACACAGCAAGGAAGAGGAAATCTGTTTGACATGCCAACATATGCCCAAACTATACGTACAAATTGTCTGTAGGCCACAGATCGCAAAAAATCTGTAAATATAAATGAGGTCCATATAGGTGATTAGAATTGCGCGTTTCCGAATAAATACAAATAATTTATACAATAGAAAAAGCCTAGCTACAAACCATTCTCTGACGTCGACTTCACCAAAGAATCTTCGGAGAAGATCTTCTTCTTCTTCTTCCTCCTCTACAGCGACTTACATCGCGTATTGCCCAGCTTCTCCTTCGTTTGCTGTCGGTTCGACACTTTCTTCGTATGGTGCAAAACCCTTATTGCCGATACAAAACTACCCTCCGAGGCGCTAGACAAACACTCTGAGTCATCTCCTGATGAAACTTGCGAATATTGTTTTTCTGAGCTCGACATATTTCCTTTACTTTCCTTTGACAAGAAGTCCTAGAAGATAATCGTGTTGAGAATCTGACGCAGCACCACAGTTTATTTGGGAAACTTACTCCCTTTATTAAAGAAGGACTTAGAGGTTTTCTCTTTTGCGATTTAAGCCATTTTTAGATGGTTTGCGGAAGAAACGCTGACGGATCTCATACCCTATTCGGTTTTCCCATGTGCTCCCTGGTCTCTACTTCTACTATATTTCCTCAATTGTGAATTTGATAACACGAAAATTCGACCGCATAGAGAGGCCTAAGTATTAAGAGGGGAGCCAAAACCAAAACTTGACACACATTATTCCTATAGTACTGTGCAAAAGTAATGCAAACGATTATCGTTGTTTATCGCGCTTTGTTCTTCCGATATATCACCGATATATCGTTCATTTCCTTGACACCTTAAGAACGATAAATCGACGAGATATCGGAGCTCTCCTGCAATATCTCGTTCCGACGATAAATCGTTTCAACGATACATCCCTCCGGCGATATATCGCTAAAACGATATATCGTAGAGCGTGCAGAACATCATCAAGATATATCGCTTCAGTGAAATATCGCTCCAGCGATTTATCGCTGAATCAGGAATGATTCATTGCGATATATCGTTCTGGCTATGTATCGCCTGAGCGAGTTTTCTCATGGCGAGAAGTGCTTGTCTTCTATATCCCCTTCAAGCGAAATAATTATAAGTTTTTTCAGATTCCTCCCCCATTATGTTTTGGTATATGTAAGTTGTTAATGTTGTTTAAGTGCGTCTGCAAAGGTAACATTCAATGAAAGGGTAGTCAATAGGTACATGTATTATACTAAATGTAGCCAGTTTAAAATGGGGCTTTATTTGAAGCTCGTTGCAGCATTGTGAAAGGAGGCAGGCCTCAAGGGAAATATTTAGATTTAATATTCGAAAAAAGACGTTATTTTATTAAACAAATGATTTAATTAAACAAATGATTTAATTAAACAAATGATTTAATTAAACAAATGATTTAATTAAACAAATGATTTAATTAAACAAATGATTTAATTAAACAAATGATTTAATTAAACAAATGATTTAATTAAACAAATGATTTAATTAAACAAATGATTTAATTAAACAAATGATTTAATTAAACAAATGATTTAATTAAACAAATGATTTAATTAAACAAATGATTTAATTAAACAAATGATTTAATTAAACAAATGATTTAATTAAACAAATGATTTAATTAAACAAATGATTTAATTAAACAAATGATTTTATTAAAGTACTGTTCACTACGCCTTAGGATGAAATTGGTGAATCAAGATCAGTTTAGTATGGACGCTTTTCCTTTTCATTTTTTCGCAATGCTGGCAGCGTTTTCTGGTGCTAACTTTACACGTATCCCACATGCAGCTCGTTTCGTCAGTTCTGCGGCACTGGTAAGAACAGGCCTTGATCACCTCAGCTAAAAAGAAAAGAAAAACCGAAAAAAACCTCAGAAAAACAAAGCATTAATTGTCGCAGCGCAAGGGGGAAGGGGGTGGGGGAGGGTGTTTCTTACCAGTACAACATACAGATCATAAAAGCAAAACAAAACAAAACAACATAAAAACAATTTGGTTGGAGAACATTACACATTTCATCCAAGTAAAATAACAAACTTTCTTTAGCATACCTTTTATAGCTATGTCCGATGGAGACACTTCAGAATACCGACTTCGGCTCCACTTTACTGAAACGATTTTTCTTCAATTATTTTTTTCCATTTTGGTTCTATGTGCTATGATGAAAACTATCTATGTTGAATAAATTAAGCTTTCCCCTTTTATAGCAATCGAAGCCCGTAGATGGATCGAGATTTTTATCAGATGACTGGTTCCTACTTGGTGGTTTGTTCTCCATAACAATAGAGGCGTAGGCTTCATGAGAGCTTTTCATATTTAAATTAACTACACGCGAAAGGATGTGAACAAAAGGCGTGATAAAGCGACTTTGATAGAGTTAATGGAACCGTGGGCTAATTTCAGTCCTTTGATTGTTATGTGAGTAGACGGGTAATTTGAAAGTGCTAAAATTCTTGTTTTTGAGATTAATGAAATATGCATACACGCTTTAGTTTTTGTGGCACTTGCAAAGAATAAGCAAGGAAACAAGGAATATCGATGCCCGATTCTGTCAGCCCTTAATTAACCATACTGTTTTTTTGGGAAGGGCGAGGTTCAATTGAAACAAAGTTTTGTCTCGGTTTTGGTCTCATGCGCACAAAAAAAAAAAAAAAAAAAAAGGAATTGATGGTATGAAGGCTATGCATGAGTAGTCTGTTGTTTATTGTTTAAGAGAACGGGTCATAAAAGTGCCATTATTCTTGTTTGTCTGTTTGTTAAATTTATCAACAATCTTAAGGTTTTGTATGCGTAAAATACTAGGGTAAATAAAAGGCAACTTTCACGACTTTCTTGAGATCATGGTCGATGTGCTTAACGAATTTCTCTTCCGTCACCCTCTCAGCCCAAAACGCCTTTATTCCGTCAACCAGTTCTTGTTTGTTTCACGGTTTCACTTTCGATTCTAAGTAAAATTTCAGTTCGTGCCTAATTCTCGATGGGATTTAAATCCGGACTCTCTGGGGGAGTACGCAACCAGTTTATATCATTCTCCTCGAAGAAGGCCCTCGCTCATCTTGTCGTATGTTGGGATCATTATCCTGCACAAATCTGTGGTCTAGTAGCGTCTGATTGATGAATGGTAGAAGGGTTGTCTCCAGAATACGGCAGTACAGTTCTGCATCCATTATACCATCGAATATGCACACTTTAGTAGCTCCCTTTCTGCTGATTCCTTCCCATACGTGTACTTTAAGTGAATGTTTAGGCCTCGGTTTTCTTTTGAATGGCTCGTGGACCTTTCGGTAGTATGTACGTCTGTATTGTTCCAGCGAGACTGAGCATTCATCAGAGAATATGACATTATGGAATGCAACACCGGAATCCAGGATTTGTTGTGCGTACTCTAGTCTTTTCTCCGTATTAGCTACTCTTATCAGTTGACAGTAATGGATGCGCTGCAGCGTCCATCCCTATTTGGCTCGCGATCTTCGCACAGCGGAGGAGTTCACAACGATTCCACGCTTGGCCAGTTGTTTTGGAATCTGTATGCTTGTTGCCTCGTCGTTTATACACATTTGCTTTTCAATAAAAGCTTTCGCATCTACTGGAAGCTTTGTCGGCCTTCCTGATCGAAGGCGGTTTTCAGTGGATCCAGTTTTCTGTATTTTGTTGATGATCCTGTAGATTTTCGCGTCTCAAGGCTTTCAATATTTGTACGGGAAAAAATCCTTCCTTATGGAGACAAGCAATTTTTTTTTCTCGTATGTGAAGTAACCTTCGGCATGATTACGCGGTAGTATCCCGCGGGTACATTATATACAAATACAGATTGGTTTCCATGGGGATGCAATAACACATCGCAACGCGTTAAAAAAAGTAACCTTGCACCCTCCCTTAGTACCGTTTTCACAAGCTGTCTTTTTCTCGCTCTCGCTATTCTCGTTTGTTCGATAGTATCAAAATGAATATAGGCTTTCTTATAATTTGTTTTATTTTGTGCAGTAGCGAACTTGCTTAACTAATGTACAGCGAACGTGAGGCAAACTTCGACCATAGCCGACTCTGTATGTAGCGAAACTGGCTTAAATTCATTATACTACCCTTTTCACGCTGATTAAACAGACTTCGAATGGAATGATACACTAGGTTTACTTTCCTACTCACTCAGACAGTATCAGAGTGATGAAAAATTCGCCGAGCAGCGCAATGTTGCCTCATCGATCGAACACTTCGCTTTTACTTTTGCACAGTACTGTATTTCATTGTCTTACACGATTCGTAACTTACCAAGAGAAATACACCTGCAAACTTGTGTGCAAATTGTCCCAGACGTCGTAGAAGCGGAATTCTTTCTTTAGAAGTTGAAAATTTTCATTCGATCTTGCTTATCGTAATAAAGAATTGTGTCGCTGATTACTATTCGTCAACGCTCTCAACCAGACTATTTTTAATCGTGACGCCAGCAATGACAGGTAACGAAGACGTAAACAGGAAGTTATCTTTTCACCAATCCAATTTGAAATGTTCGCTGTTTATTCGTTAGTACTCGCCTTTATACCGATAATTCTATTGGAAATTAGTTTATAGGTATTGATCTTGGCGTGTACTCAAGGTGGTGGTCATCAAGGAGTGATAGAGGCGAAATTTTGGGCAGAGAAGTAACAGGACAGCTGCAGTTGAAATGAAACGTTCGGTATGTTTTTTTCAACTTTGCCTTAAAGTCTAGGTCAATTATGGAGCGGTTCTTCAATCTATTTTGTTTCGATGCATCTGACAATTATCGTGATGCAAACTGCAGGAAAAAAGTGCACGGAGTGGTTTGTTTTGGTCTGAGTCATCAGATATTTATCGAAGAGTTGCTCGCGGCGCAGCAAATATTTAGAGACCACCCTTGTAGAATCACACATATGCAAAAGCTATGTTGCCACTCTTTTATTTTTATGTCCGACTATGTTTAAGTTATGTTGTGCTCAACAGTGCCTATGTATTTACTATGCACTCTGCCATATCACATAGTTCAAGGTATGTAAGACATATTTTGAATTATATTATTTGTATTTTCTCCAAACAAGTGGAAAAATAACTAGCAAAACAGATTATTTTAATCCTATTTTATTTCGTACATCAGTAAAATAGTGATAAAATAATCTGTTTTATATATATTTTCTGCTGATAGGACATGCTATGGCCATTTCCTTTGGAAAATATGAAAAAATAGTGTATCTCAATCCTATTTTATCAAAGAAAATTTTGAGTAATTACAAAGTAGGTTAAAAATAGACTGTTTTATTTCTTTTTTTTTTTTGAGGTGGATTCCATTCCATTGCAAAATATGTATTAAATATTCTACTTTAATTCTATTTTCTCCAAAGTATCCCAGACCCACAATATTTAAAACAGCATCTAGACGTGTGTGTAATAACCAGTCATATTTTTTTCCTATTTTATTCGTGAATTCAAGCTTAACTACCAACGTATTGTTGTTCTTTATTTCAAAATATAATTTTGAGGCAACTGTTTGGTACTTGCACCAATCATATCTTCCCTGCATACACTGGAATTCAAAAGTCATAGTTACTGTGTTAACGAGATAAAGAAGGGTTCAAAATTGAAAACGCCAGACCGACGTTTTTCATCTGCGTTGTTATAGGTTTCAAGTTTCCGTTAAAGTTTCTTTCTTTGTCAAAGAGTTGAGTGCGAAGGCTTGCCTTTAGCATCGAATCTCCACTTTTTATTGCCTGTATCGTCGCTTGGGTCATGTGTAACAATAAATCGATCAGCACAGCAACCAAGCTTGCTCAGAGTGGGTTTTGAGTCTTTGTTTTCTCGACAACTTCCGGCCACAAATCGTGCATTTGTAATACGATCGATTCTTGTCGATTATTTCTACATAGAGTGAGCCCACAGCGTTATTTATATCATCGTCAGACCATGGACCCGAGGGATTGCAATCGGGCAAGCCAGTGGATTCTCTTTGCTAGCGAATAACAATTTCCAAAAGATCCACGTGATCATATCCTTAATCGGAAACAAAGAAGACTCCATTTCGCGCTCATCTTTGAATGTACTTTTCTTCAAAATAGTCTGAAAAAATAGAGAAAAATACACAGAAAATAGGGAAAATATAGTTTAAAAATAGATATAAAATAGATATAAAATAGGCACTATGTGGAGTACATAAACTTTATTTCAGTGCTATGGAGAACCTATTTCAAATCTAAGTAAAGACTATTTTTATTCTGTTTTTCCAATTTTTGGGGTATGTAAAATCTGTGTGAACTTTATCTAAAGGCTATGTTTATCATATGTATCTTACATTCCAAGTCTATTTGAAATATATGCAAACACTATTCAAATACTGTTTTGTCAGTTATTCCCTATCGACTTGACTATATAAAAATGTATGTTACTCCTATGTAAAGGGTACATATTCTACATGTTTTTCCTATATAAATGTCAGTTTATCAGTTAGCGAGTTAACAAGAGTTTGTGGAATCTCTAATTAAAAGCTGTGTTAGGTGTATATAAAATATATGTGCACTCTATTTGAGAGCTACGTTATTTATTTTATACTTCCTCTCAAAAACTGTAAATTTAAGCTTTTAAATAGGTTCCAAATGTCTAAGGAAAAATAGCTTTTCCTATGCAAAAACATAGCTGTGGCATAGAAATAACATAAAGTGTCAGTAAAAGCCAACTTTGGCTACTGACATACGATTTACATAGCTTTGTGAAATAGCTTTTGCATAGTTTCTACATTGTGTTTAATTATACAAGGGTGCAAATATTTTTTCAAAGAATTGAAAATTTTTCTACGCAGGAGCGAAAAACGAACGATTTTCTTGCATGTACGAGACCGTGTAGTAGATTCAGCATTCTTGTTAAGTTGCAGAATTAGAATCCACAGCCAGAAGATTGCGTAAGCTTGTGTAAAACATTTTTCAAAATCCCCCACTGAGCAATGCTTTTAGGAAATATCAACTCTTAAAAACAAGGCAACTGTTCGATAAACGAAGCGAACAATTGAAGTTACAAATTCTCTGCCTTTACGAGCCCCATGTGGTAGATTTACCCCGCTTCAATTGTTGTTCACTTAAACAGAAATAAAACAGAAATGAAATTCTTTCTAAAAGATTCATTTCTCTTAAGAGAAGAATTTATTATTTCAGATTCTTCGTCCCCAGAGGAGAATAATATTTCCGGGGAGAAGATATCTGGTTTTTGAAGAATGCGCGACTTAAGTGTCTTTGCTATTTAGTGCTATAAGTTTCTTTTGTGTTACATTGTTAGGTAAAACAAGGAACTTTTCGATTTGAAAAAGCGACTAGTCGACACCGGAAAATTTACATAATGAAAAAGCTCTCATGTTACACACACACACACACCGCATCACTTCGCTAATTTATCGAATAACGAGTGGTAGCAGTAGATTTGCTTGATCTAAGCTGTTGATGAATCTGAAAGAAAGGAAAATCTCACTTATACAAGGTATTGAAACACATGTATCATCAAGCGAATAACGAGGCGAACATTCACTAACATGCTTCCCAATTTACTGATTGCAATCGGCGCTTGCTTGAAACACGCACTTGAATGTAAACAATTCCGTTTTCGAATCATGATTTATTAGAAACTCCAAACTTCCCTCGATCACCTCCAATGAATGATTACTCAATGTTGAGGAACAGAAGGAAAATTTATTATCTTAGATTTTTAATAATCTTTTCGTTTATTCACTGCAATGGCTTGCTGCTTTGTTTGAAAATCTGGAAATCTGCAAAAGAACCTTTACCTTTCTCACCTTTATCTTAACTTGGTAGTGTGGTAGTGTGGAAGTGTTGTAGTGTAGAAGTTTGGTAGTGTGGAAGTGTGGTAGTGTAGAAGTTTGATAGTGTGGAAGTGTGGTAGTGTGGTAGTGTGGTTGTGTGGAAGTGTCAAAGTGTGTAAATATGCAAATATGCAAATAGGCCTTTACCTACCTTTCTCACGTTTATCTTAACTTGGCAGTGTGGAAGTGTGGAGGTGTAGAAGTGTGGAAGTGTGGGAGTGTGGGAGTGTGGGAGTGTGGGAGTGTGGGAGTGTGGAAGTGTGGAAGTGTAAAAGTGTGAAAGTGTGGGAGTGTGGAAGTCTAGAAATATGTAAATGAGCCTTTACCTTGGAACACATTAAAACTGATCAATGATTTAAACACCCCGGTTAGCGATTGATCAAGTTCTCTATTACTATATTTCAAACCATCGAACCTCTATACAGTGTAATTAGCTAAAGGCTTGATATACATATCACTAGAAGAAGTTAAAATGAACCACGAATTGTGAGGTATGGTCGTTTTACGCGTGTTTGTTCAGATGCCGCACAACCTGTAGCCACATGCAACAATCAAGACTCATTTATTAATTCAGAGTGTTTGCACCGGGCCCTAATCGTAGTCCTAGGTTAGATTTCAACACTTCCACATCGTGATAACGTGTACTCTGCTTTTCTACCCCAAGTAAAAGTCATCGATTGTGGGCACAGAACGCTTGCGAAGTGCATCTAATTCATTAAAACGATAACATGCCCAGTTTAAGTAATGTACAAAGTAAAACACGAAAAGATCATCTGAAAACCGAAAACGCTTCCACAGAATATGGTTCATTTGCAACTGAGTTATGCAAGCGTCTGTCAACAATGTCAAGAACTTTGAAAACACACACTCTTGCAACGTTTCGTCTAAATGCAGGCGCCGGGGAGTCTTAAACAAACTTGAACTACAGGTGTCCTGCCTACAGTGTTTCTCTTCCCTTTTTCTGAGAAATTTGATGAACATCGATCGATGATTAGACAAATATCAAAACAAGAAGCAAATCCGATTTCGCATGAAAATTTGCATACGAGTTAGAAGAATAAGACGTAGTCGAGATAGATAACGAAACACCATAAAAATAAGCGAGTAGCACTTCTTTGTTTTTGTCTTTTTTTTTCTATAAAAGGCGAGATGAATGACAAAGTTTCCGAGAACAGCATGTTTATCAATATCAAAAGCTATATATGAAATGAGCATTCGCGTGTGATTTCGTATTCAGAACGCGACAATTGATAGCATACGTGCGCCTTTGCTGGTTCTGCCGAAATACGATGCATCGAGAATAAATTTATTCTGAACACATTTTTTTATCTTATTTTTTGTTTCTAATGAAATGAGAACAGCTACTTTGGTAAAAGAATTCTGTTGAAAAATGATGAATCATTTATTAAATCAGATTACGATGTGGCATCAATATGTCATAGTATATCGGAGAGGTCGCTTCGAACGGTGATTGAAATGGCTTTACAGTAATTTGCGAAACGAAACGAAACGAAAAGAAATGAAAATCTGTAATTTGCGAAATGGAAATATGCTAATGATTTGCTAAATAGAAATCGCAAATTACAGATTTCTATTTTGCAAATCATTAGCATATTTCCATCTCGCAAATTACAGACATCTGTACCGTCGATAGGGTGTAATCAATGTACGTTGTCGATGAATAATGAAAATCTCTATTTTGCGAAAAAAAAATTATTTTGAGACTCAAGAAAATAAAAATGGAAATGGACATGGAAAGTGTCACTGTAAGTTTCTAGATAGAATATGACGTTTGCTAGGAAAATGAAACTGACCCAAGCTCTTTTATTTTCTTCAGTCTCAAAATAATTTTTTTTTTCGCAAAATAGAGATTTTCATTCCTTTTCGTTTCGTTTCGTTTCGTTTTGCTTCGCAAATTATAGTAAGCCATTGAAACGAACAGTTTTACTTGCCGTTGGTGGCCATGAAGTGTTTTTTTAAAACAACAAAATTTTCCACTAAAGAAAAACAAACAGCTTATCTCTCACATACTAATTGTAGTATCCCACCCTCCGCGTGCGTTGCGAGCCTACAGTGTATCACATGATATTCCATCCAACCTGGTGGGTGTTTGTTGACAGAATTACATTTGGCGACGAGGAGGGATTACAAGAAGAGAAGCAGGGCCAGCGGGGAAAAAAAAATCAGCAAAATTCACAGCTAAGACCTCGAAGCCCTTGGGCAACCGAAAATTTAAAAGAGAGAAGAAGAATAGAAAGCAAGAGAACGCCGAAGAGAATTCGCACAGAGACCACGTGCTCGATATAAAATCATGTCAGATACGCTGGGCGAAGCAGGAGCCGACGGAAACGTGCCGAATCCGGCAGAAATAAGTGTATTCAGCGTGGGGAAATCACTTAAGATAGAACCATTCAAGATCCCAGAAAACCCCTAGGAAATTGGGCGAGCGTGGAAAGAGTGGATGGAGGACCTCGACGAAGAAACATCGCATTTTGAGATTACAGAAACAAGGGACTGCGTGAGTGCCCGGAAGATTTCTGGCGGCAAAGAAATCAAGAAATTTGCACACAACTTACCAGATACAGCGCTGGTGGACGGGGATGACGATTACAGAAAGCTGTAAAGGAAACTTATTTCTTGTCGAAAAAAAACAAGCATCGTGCGAGATTAACATTTAGCAAGACCAACCGAAGGAGAGAGTGTTTATCGCATACGCGGCGCGACTACGCGAAAAATCAAAGGATTGCGAGTTTGAGGAGCAAACAGAAGACAGGATACTGGAACATTTTATACAGACTATCAAGGACAACGAACTCGTGAAAAGACACATTCAGAAGAAATGGGTACTGGATCGATTCCTCGAGAAAGCAAGCCAAAGAGAAGACATCGATCAACAAGTCAAAGACATGAAAGAATATTTCGGGATATCGAAGGTAGAGCATCAATCAAAAGACCTTCCGGTGGGATGGAAGAATAAAATCGAGGATACCACTGTGACCTCCCAGAAAACAAGAAGACAAACAAGAGAAAGAGGAAAGCAAGAGTTGTGGTTACTGTGGAAAAACAGGAACACATCCCCCGGGCTGAAACTTGCCAATCATTATGCGTCATGTTGCAGAGTTGGAGCTCCACATCAAGATGGATTTAAGGGGACTGAGAGAGGGCGAATCAAGAGAACAACAGTGACCGAGGAGATAAGCAGTGACTAAGATAATGGTTACATTTATTTTCAGGAGACAGCACAACAGCTACATCGAGTGAAGAGGATGAGGTCAGGTCCTAATCAAGACACCGTACTAATCCGCATAGGAGACATTGCTCCCTTTGTAGAACCAGACAGTGGAGTAAGCGTAAACGTGATGGATGAGTACCAGTTCAAGGCCCTCAAGCATAGGTCACCTGAGATTAAAGAACTAGATCCTTGCAGAGATTGCACTAAAGATTCTTTAGTCCAATCTAACAGTCAAAGGTGAATTCACTACAACATTGCGGGACATGAACCGCATCACACAAAGCAAGTTCTTTGTAATCCAATCTACTCTCCTTGAAAGGATCACGATAAGATTATTCCTGTGATAAGAATTGGTGGTTCTTAATTGGAGAAAATACGTAAGGATGAATTAAGAGCGAGCAGTTAATTTAGGACCAGAAAACTGCGTAGCTTTGTGTTGAAAATTCTGAAAATTGTGCGATTTCAGAGACAAAAAAATTTTTAACGCCCTTATAAAGGGTCCCGACGTCCCAAAGTCTCAGTTAAAATCAGTCATAGCTCCCATCACGTTGGAACTGAACTATCGTCAACTACAAAACTAATTTCGTGACTTTAAAGAGCCACATGCACTGAAAAATGTCTTTAGACCTCGCGGCTAACCTCGAGGGGAACTTCCAGCTGAAGTGAAACTGCATACGTTATGATGTTATAGATGCACTGCCGTGCCGTACAAAAGGATTTTTATCATATTATTTCCTTAGAAAACACTGTTAGACAGGAAATGACCCGCCATGTTATAAACAGAGAAAAATTCATGGGCGCGCGTATGGAATTTCTCTTCGAGCGTTCAACTCGATAGCTCACGAGTAAACGCAACGAAAGAGTGATGTCGAGTTGATGTCGAGAGAAATTCCATATCTACAAGCAACCATGTAATATTTTGTTTATCATATAAACACAATAGCCCTTCAATGACAAGAAAAGTCGACGAATGAAAATAAAAAGCCCGACAACCCCCGTTTGCGCCAAGGCTCAAGATGAGAAAATGCGTTGAATCACTACAAATTTAACAATGGGCGTAATTTTCAATATACAAAATTCTCAGTTATTGAGTCAGTCCTTACCAAAAGAAGATGTCTTTCAGGGACACAGCCAAAAGCGGCCTGTGGCAAATCTTCCAGTTGTCGATATTCGTTCTCGGCCGCGAGAAATGCCATTATCAAAGTAGCTGAATTCGTAACTTTCGGTTTTTTCTTCGTATTTTGGTTTTTCTACCGCTTCAACGAAACTTTGAAAGTCAATGTCTGTAAGCGATACGGATTTTTCAGTGTTTAAGCAGCCATAATCCGAGAAAATTCTGACAAACAACCACGGGTTGAGAATGGTGAGGGCTTCGCCGTTCATTCATCAACCTGACCGAGTGGCGCGAAAGGCGTGTGACGTGTTAGCAGCTGATTGGCTATATCAAAGACACGTGAAAAAACATCGTATTTTTTTTACGTGTATTGTTTGGGCTTTTCTCAGGGCTGGAAATCCTTGTATAACTCTGCAGTCTATATGATTAAACACATTATTTAATAGTTATTTTTAAATAAAAATATTGACTGTTCATTTCCGTTTCTATCAGACTGCCAAGGCCACGGTAATGATGTCCATTGGTCTGATACAGGTCATCTTGGTCTTATGTTTCATAAAACCATGCGAGAGTGACGTTTGCAGCCAAAAAATTTGTCAATGTACCAAGTTCGGTAGAAGTCGGGTAAAAGTAAAATGTCAAGTTCATGGAAACGTTCCGACTGGAATCCCAAGCAATACAGTGGAACTGTAAGTAATAAAAAAAACTCATTCTTCGTTCTGTGCTTCTCTGTGCTTCTGTGCTTCGTTCGCCTGTTATCTTCTGCCTCAATACGAAGTTCTAATTTTTCTTCATTTTAAATTTTTAAAATTTACTTCTCTTAATCTCTTTCGCCCATTTCTTTTATTGCAAAGTTGTTTCTCCTTCTCGGCGTTGATTCATCTTCCGTCATCTTCAGGTATTTCGAGTAACAAGAGCGATGCTTTTGATGTATAGTTTAATGCGGATAATATGAATCGCTCGTACTTACTGCTGTAATTGACTCACTGTCTTTAGCATTCAAATTTGTTGTCATTATCATACTTATTAACAGTAGACTACGAGCAGTTCATCCTTATCGGCGAGGTCCGTACGTGGGGCGAGTCAAACCCTAACCCTAAGCGACCTAACCCTTAGAAAAAAATGGCGCCAGCATGCCCACGTCGCGCCGTGTTTTGAGCCTCACTCGATCGCAGAGCTCTGCTCGGCATGAAAACGTAATATGACTTCTTTTTTCTTGTTTCACTGTCTTTTCTCTACCCGCGCAACGGACTACGCCGAAAGCAGAGACTGCTCGTAGTCTATGCTACTAATTAAAACTTTTACCCCAGGGATCTTTCAAGTTGTTCCTTGAGCTCGATTACAGAAGACGTCTTTAGGAACCTGACTGTTTTAGAGAAATTGTAAGTAGTAAATGGAAAAAAAAAAACCGGGGAATTCTCAGAAAATGTAAAGAGCATGTGTTTCGTACTGAAAGCAGTTAAAGTGGCAAAGTGTGATTGTGTCTGTCTGTATGTAAGGATAATTTGATGGCAGTCAAAAAAGTTTGAGAACGGTCATGGGATATCCTCGATTCAGCTATCTGATTTCAAGTTATTTATAAATGCTCTTGGACGGTTCAACATTATCTTCACCACCTATGAGCTGATAGAATTCGACTGTCTTATAAATATATAATAATAGCGTTTTCCTAATGATAAATAAAACAGGAAAGCGCGAGTAATCATGTGAAATAGGAACATTTTACTTCGGGGAAATTTTATGCCTAATCTGGAAAACATTAATTCATTTCTTCTTTTCATGAACTCTTTCTCTTTTACCAGGGACTTGTCAAATAATTTACTGCGACAAATTCCTCCAAACACTTTCCGGAATATGAAGGAACTGGAGATAATGTAAGGGAATTCATAAATTCCTAATGATTTAAATCTAACAATAAGTTTCCATCGCGTTTTAAAAATTATTTTTGAGTGGAAAAGCATTTCCCATCAATATTTTCTGTTTCCATCGTGCTTGGCTGGTGAAAATTATTATCCCTGTAGAGTTTAAAGTGACTCTTTTAAATTAATTGATCAAAATTAACTGTTTTGATCATTATTCTGTAGAAACATAGTAATGTAAATTGTTTCCAGGGAATCAGTCTGCCTCCAATTCACGACGTCTGCTATTATTTTCTTCCCAGAAATCTTTACAAGAACTCAATTTCAGGAGGTTTTTACCTTCCGGAAGGCGTTTCTTCTTTGTGAGTTTTGGTTGATGAAATGTTTAGCAAATCTGTATGTCACAGAATCAGAGCACATTTAGATTTATTGCCAAAATGTCGCTGTAAGCTTATGCATTCCAAACTTTCTGATAAACAAAATGATGATGAATTGGTTATATTCAGTTTTAAGAGATCCGTATTTAGATTTATGGATGCATGTAACAAACGTAGTCAGAAATGAGGCTGAGTGAATAATGGGGGCCCACTGTCTAACACCTACAAGCTGATATCGTAAGAGAGGTTATTACTCATCGTGGTGCTAAGCAATGATAAACTGTTAAATCGTTTGTCTCACAATGTAGTAACTTGAGATGTACATCGCGACCTTTAGACTGCCTAATTCTAGTCTTCATCAGGCAATGGGGTCCACTGCTCACGCGTTACCAATTGTGTTATGGCGATCTTATGTGATTGATGGATTTCAATTCCTTTTGTTCCGGGAGTCTAATGTGGATGGCTTCCTTGATTCTTCTGGTGTACCAGTGTGAGTCTCGATCAAAAAACTTTACTTCGTTCCAAAGCGAGCGTGGCATAGGTACGAGCTGAACGTATACCCTTTCGTGTTCTTTCATCCTCTCTTGCATAGGTCTTCCCGTTTCACCGCAGAGGTCATGGGCTCAAATCCCGTACGAGCCTAAATCTTTTTCAGGCCTTATTTTTACTACTACCTCACTAGTGTTCGTAACTGCGAAGATCGCTTCCATATTTGTTCTTCAAATGCAGTTCACATATATGATTTTCATATATTTACAGTGAAGTAAAGATTATTGATCGAGACTCACATTGGTACACCAGAAGAATCAAGGAAGCCATCCATATAAGACTTCACCCTGATAACATCAACAGGGATAACGGAATCGAAATTCCTGCAGCGTGGATAGCAACAATCAAGAAACACAACGGGAGACCGGCACGGCAGCAGATCGCCGAGGGAACAACTCACTGAAACAATAGGGATCGAAACCCACCAATCATATTAGATCGTCGTAATACAAATGAAAAAGCGTGAGTAGTCGACCTCATCGCCCGATGAGGACTAGCAGTGAGCAGTCGAAAAGTCGCGATCTACATCTTAAGTGACTACATCGTAAGACAAACGATTCAACATTATAATCATTACTTATAAGTTGATGTTAAATGTTCCATTTATGTAGGAAAATCAGTGACAACTTACTATCAATTGCTGATGCGAAGGTCATTCTTAATGGATTGACGCGGCTTAAGAAACTGTAAGTGTCATCTTTTAAGACGATTTAAAAGTCACACAAACATAACTGAATGCTTTGAGAATATAATCGTTGTAGATATTATGTTATTATTCCCCCTCCAATAGATCAAAGTCTTTTGTAACGCCTTACAACATCGCTCATCATATCTTATTAAAAAAATATGTATATATTCTAAACACCATATCGGTCTAGATGCATTCCTCAGATAGTTGCTATTCATTTCAAATGGTTTACTTCAACAGAGACCTTGATAGAAATCCACTTGGACCTTCTTTGCCATCAGACATCTTCGCAGGGTTTGAAAATATGATATATCTGTGAGTTCAGTGGCTCCATAAATCACCAACTAATAAGAAGTATGATACTGAGCGTTAGTTTCATGATGTAGTCATCGTTAAAGTGGATCCTGACGTTTCATCCGAACACATTCAGTTTTACTCAGTGCTCGTGGAACGTCAGAAGTCTGCGAAATGCCAATCAAAGCTGTCAAAAAAGAGTATTCGTAGAAACGTTGCATTCATATCCAAAATTACCAGATCGTGAGGCAAACGATACTAAATCATTAATCCTTTTTTCATAACACGATAAATTACCACATAACCACCCACTGCTGCCATGTACTATATATATGAGAATAATCCTTTTTATTGAATAAT